GGCTGAAGTCCTCTTTTTATCCACCAAGTGGGAACAGCACAGGAAGTGACAAAGCTGGTTTTCATAAAAGCACTCCCACCAACTGGCTCAAGCCAAAGAAAAGGGCCCACACCTTTCAGGAAAGAGGATTGTGCGGCCTCTCATGCCCATTTAACCTTTGCTTTCACTGCTGGAACTGCCACCAGTCTGGGAAGGAGAGAAAGGTAGAGCGTGATTAGTGCCATTTCTAATGTAACCTTAAAACTCACCGCTTTTCTGCCGGGAAAAAAAAAAGGGCTTAGAAACTAGTTACTTAGAAGACTTAGAAATTAGTTTCTTCCCTCTCCTAATATTCAACCCAAATCCATTTTGCACAACTCACCACTAACTCTCTTTTGCGTAATTTACCACAAACTTTTTTTCTTTCATGAACAGTACTCAGTCTTGAATTCAACTGATTGGTTTTGGTTCCTTGGAAAACAAATGTATACGGCCTGAAATATGGGTATTTCATAAATGTCCCTTGTGCAAGAAGAACACAAAGTTCTTCTCAGAAGGTGTTTACTTTGCAAGCTGTGTAGGTGCACAGTAGGAAACAGGAAACAATCTGCACCCAGCACTGAGGGTGTGCAGTCACACGCACAGCGCTGCCAGCGCCCAGAGGAGCTATTCCAGGACCCTGGAAAACAGACAGACTCCAGAAGCGAGGCTGCACTGCAGAGCTTCATCAAATCAAAACACACGTGGATGTTTTCTACCAGTGTAGCTGCCAGATGTTCTCTTTTGTGGGGATGTCTAATTTGGGGACACCGGTTATCCCTGTCCCTAGAAATCTTTAGGGTACAACAAATTGAGCCTTTTTCCTACGTGTGATGACAAGACCCAGAAGTAGTCTTTTTCTTTTTCTATTTCTGGGATGAGTTAATGCGAATGGACAAGTTGGGGCAGGGTGATGGCAGCCAGACTGGAATGGGCTCAAAGTATTTCTCCATGCCCATGGAGAGTAGGTGGTGGGCACACAAGCCTCTTCTTGCCAGTTTTTACCTAATGTGGATAAGGCTACTGGTCTGTCCTGAGTTTCTGACTGTCTTATGTACTGCATGGGGTTTGAGACTTCCTAGAAAGAGCCACAGCAGAAGCCAAAAGGAGCACAAGCCTCAGCTAAGGAGAGTCTGGCATCGGCTTTGGGTGGGTCCACGTGGGAAACTTTTCCCGTGACTCCTGAAAGAACTCTCCAAGTCTGAGTCTATAATCAATGCTTAAATAGCTAAGAGTTGACAGGACAGCAGAAAACAAACGAGAGCTTAACACAATACCAGTGATAGTATCTATCCCTCTCTCTCAGTTCTTACAACGTTATCTCATGATCTTGGCCCTACTAAAATACACTACTTCTGTTCTATGCCTTGAGCTCTGCAAGAGTTAACCTAAAGTATTAATAACTTCAGCAAATATGTAAATCCTTAAAAAGTCATACTCCAATTTTACCATTTCCATTTTAAACCTCATTTTGAAAACTGCTACTTAAGGATGTAAGAACTTTTGGTAGTTTTCTTTGGTATTACAAACACAGTTCTACCAAAGTGAACTTGCATCACCCAAGAAAAATGTAAGGCCTCTCAGTGCAGCATTTTCAAATTTCCATGTGAGAATCACTTATTAACCTAGTTAATACTACCAAATAGGCAACTGTTGACTGTGCCTTGTATTTGTACAAGGCATTAAAGGAATGAAAAGACTTTTTCCTTGCCCTTGAGTAGCTTGCAATTTAGTAAAAGATTAAAAAATGTACATTACTAATTCAAGCTCTAGTGAGCAGATTATAAGCATGATGTAAATTCAGTGTTACAGGAATGCAGAGGAGGGCTAGACTAACTATGCTCTGGGAAAATGACTGGTAAAGATGGCATTTGAGTAAGGCCTTAGAAAACATACTATTTCAACAGGAAGAGGGGGTTAGAGAAGGCCATTTTACATGAAGGAAATAGCTTTAGCAAAGGCATGGAGGTGAGGGAGTAAAGGTGAATTAAGAGAACTTCAAGTGACCAGGTCTAGCTGAAGTCCAGGCCACATGAGAAGTTAACAGGAAACCGATTTGGAAAGGTAATGCTGTGGCCAATTCTTAACCTAAAAAGAGAAAAACGTAGAAAGCTAGATTTTAGAAATAGAAAATAACTTTTGAAATATACCCTTCGCTAATGATTTTTTGTATCATATCTTACATTTTTAAAGTGAGAAGTATTTTATTAGCAACTTTATTTGCAAACTGGGTGCCGTAACGTCAAAGAAAAAATAACCTGGCTGCTAGAAAACTGTTTTTCTGAGCTGGCAAATTGTTGGCTGCAGCTTAACTTATGTATTCTTCTTACCCACACCTTGTGATTATTTCATTAACTCTCTTCTCATCACTGAAACGCCCTCTTAATTTAACTCACTAAGTACTTACTGAGTGGCTACTCTAGAACCAGTACTTGCTCACTTATTTACCGGTCCTCTCCTTCTTTGCCCCAGCTTGTCCCTGCTAGCCACTGACTCACTCATTATTCTCCTGTGAACTATATTAATAATAATAACATTAATAGATACTACTTGCTGAGTGTTTGCCATAGTGCCAGGTACTGCAATTAAGGCTTTATGAACAGTATTTAACATAATGCCGAAAACAACATATGAAATAGGTATTATTATCCCGATTTTATGGATGAGGAAACAAGCTCAGAGATGTTAAATATACTGCCAGCTGGAAAGTGGAGGAACCTGGGTTAAACCAGATCTGCTTGACTCCAGAACTTCTGCCTTTTACCACTTTGCTGAACTGTCTCTAGTACCCTCTAACCTCGTACTGATATGGCTTAGCATTTTCAATTGAAAACTAAAGCATTCCTTGAGCCCCTACAACTGCAAACTCTAGTGCAAGGTGCTGTCAGAGATACATAAATAAATGAGAGAATGCCTGCTCTATAGATGCTTCCAATCTCCTATACCTGAGGATGAACATTTGTGTCATGATCAGTTTGTAAAATCCTGTGTCCATGATCAATGAATTAAAGCAACTAAGGTCAGAAGAGGCAAAAGAGCTTTATATATGAATGTTGGATGGTGTCATGGACTGAACTGTGTCCCCCCAAAATACGTGTATCAATTTGGCTAGGCCATGATTCCCAGTATTTTGTGATTGTCCACCATTTTGTCATCTGATGTGATTTTCCTATGTGTTGCAAATCCTGTCTCTATGATGTTGATGAGATGGGATTATCAGCAATTACGTTAATGAAGCAGGACTCAATCTACAAGATTGAATTGTGTCTTGAGCCAATCTCTTCTGAGATATAAAAGAGAGGAGCGAGCAGAGAGTCATGGGGACCTCATACCACCAAGAAAGCAATGCTCGCAGCAGAGCATGTCCTTCGGACCTGAGGTTCCTGCACTGAGAAGGGGAAGGTTAATAACAAGGACCTTCCTTCAGAGCTGACAGACAGAGCAAGCCATCCCCTGGAGATGATGCCCTGAATTTGGACTTCTAGCCTACTGGACTCTGAGAGAATAACTTTTGTTTGTTGAAGCCATCCACTTGTAGTATTTCTCTTATAGCAGCACTAGATGACTAAGACAGATGGTGACCACATCTACTCACAGGCAGAAATCAGCCAATCCTGACAACTGCCTTGCAGAGAAAGTTAATAACATATTTCAATCACAGTGTGTAAAAACTCTCTGCTGATGAAAAATCTGTCCTGTCAGAAGTTCCCAACCAAATCTGCTTACAATCCATTTTCAGTGAATTTCAGCTTGCTTTGAAGTAAGCTTCTGAAGTATTTTAGCCAACAATAAGCACATTGTGAGACTAGTTCTTGTACAATTTATTACTGAAGAGTAAAATCACTTGGTAAAAACACAAGTATGATATCAAATTATTTCTACCATGAAGGCTGCATGTTGTATGAAGTTATAGAAAGCCATTTAGACAAAGAAAAATAATTCAAACATGTCACCTTTTTAAGCTGTTGTTGTTGCAGTTAGGTGCCGTCAGGTCGGTTCCTACTCATAGCAACCTTATGTACAAGAGAACGAAACACTGCTGGTCCTGCACCATCCTCACAATCATTGCTATGTTTGAGCCTACTGTTGCAGCCACTGTGCCAGTCCATCTTGTTGAGGGTCTTCCTCTTTTTCACTGACCCTCTACTTTACCAAGCATAATGTCTTTCGCCAGGGACTAGTCCCTTCTGAAAACATGTCCAAAGTACATGAGACAAAGTCTCACCATCCTTGCTTCTAAGGAACATTCTGGCTGTACTTCTTCCAAGACAGATTTGTTCTTTCTTCTGGTAGTCCACAAACCAGTCAATATTCTTCACCATAATTCAAAGGCATCAATTCTTCTTCGGTCTTCCTTATTCACTGTCCAGCTTTCGCATGCATATGAAGCAACTGAAAATACTATGGCTTAGGTCAGGCATACCTTAGTCCTCAAAGCAGTATCTTTGCTTTTTAACACTTTAAACAGGTCTTCTGCAGCAGATTTGCCAAAAAAAAATTTAAGCCACTTACTTTTAATACTGCCTTTACTAAATTCTGAATAAGTTTTTCCTTAATATTTTAAGGAGACTAGTTACATTTTTACAAATAACTATAACACATACAAATACGTAAAAAACAAAAACATGGGTCAGATGTTTATTCACCAGCCCTCTTTAGGCTATAACCATAAGTACCCCAGGGAGCATTTGGAGAGAGTCTTAATTACAGACATAATCTGTCTACTCTTCTCTCTCTACAAAGGCACAGTATTCATTTCACAAATTGCATGACTCCAAGACTCATCAAAAGACTGCAGTGGCAAATACTAACTTCATTTACTGTACAACCTAAACTCCTAGTACAATTCATTTTTAAAAGAATAAAAGTCAATAAAGAGAAATAGTATTAAGAGTTCAAGAGTGGCAAAAGAAATATCAGCACATGTTGGGTTAACAAGTAGAACCTCCAAGTTACATGAATTTAACAGCACTGACACTTACTGTTCAATTCGGGGTGATAAGTACAGCTTGGGGTACACCTGAGTGGCTTCAGTGTCCTCAAAACTGACAGAAAGGAGGGCCACATCTTCTCCAGGGTCTTCATTTGCATCCTTAAACAGAAAGTGAACAACACAATGTCATTAGTACCTATTGTCATAACATGTTATTGGTGATTATCTCATAGTCCACTGGCATTGAGGCCACTGGCTATGAGTTACCACCTCAGTGCCACATCATATCCTTTGCCACACACCTAGTCACTCCTCTAGAGTGATGGCTTCCAAACTTTCTGACCAAAGCCCACCACAGAGGGGCAAAAGACCCCATGGCCCACTTATCTCACTTCACAAGGGAAAAAACAAGTCTGGGGATAACAAAGAATTAGACAAAAACACAATTAACAAATTGCAGTAAACATGTTGCTCCAATACATAAGTGGCTTATAATTCACTTTTTATGGGAAGAACATGAGTAATAAACATGATTTATATTATAAAACACCAACAAAACATTAAAATATACAGTAATTTAATTATACCTACCTTGATAGGAAGTTGTAAGCTATTTAAATAGCAAAACTTCACAGGACACCTATCACCACAAAGTGTACCGCTGTACAAGCAAATGGCAGGGGGGTTATATACACATCTACTTCAGCAAAATGATTATAGATGACTCATACTTAACTATAAGGCATAGGTATCTTAAAAGTTTAGTTAAAAGAAAATTATAAAACAAAACATTGTTGATACAAATATGCACCATGAAACATTGTAGAGCTAACCAACAACTCAGAATAAACTACACCAGTAATGAGAAACCTAACCTTACTGTAATTTCTAATTAAAAGGCAAGAATAGAAGCAATTGAATGTCATAACTAACTCAAGCCAACACTGATGAGATGTCCTGAATCAAAAGTGTGGGACTTACAACTCTATATGCATGTTTCAAGCACCGAGTGTCTGCCAGGCTTCTGAGTAAAATACTGAAATAAAATAAATTCGAGCAGCATAATGATTTTAATTTGTGAATACCAAATTTTTGTAACCCATAATAATTTACTTTTGGTTGGTGGTGGCTCCGGGTGAAATATAATTTAAAAAAAAAAAAAAAAACCCTTAATAAAATTGTACATCCATCACCAATAGGGTGACATTTCCAGGTTAGTTTATAGGTCCTCAGGAGGGCTCAGCGGCCATCCCAGGGGGTACTCCACCTAAACTTTAAGGACCACTGCCCACGAGCACTGAGAACCAGATAACAACGCCCTCCCTTCTGTCTAAAACTCCTTTTACATTCTTTAGTTTTTAGCTTTTCAGCTAATTTTGGTTTTACTTTACAAAACTTAGGCATGTAACAAGTCAAACAATATAGAAGTTGTTAAAGAAAAAGCTCCTCCACCTCACCTCACTCCCACTTTTCAAGGTAACCACTATTAACTGTTGTGTGGCCACTAACATGTTTCTCTACACTCATAAAAACAGACATACACATACATACATTTGCATATAAACAGTTCTTTAACCTTTTGTTTTGTCTTCCTTAATGGAATCATATTATACACACCATTCTCCCAACTGCTTTTTAAATAGCCACATAGTATTCTATGACATGGATTTACTTTAATTAAACCCTTCCCCAGCAATGGACATTCAGACTGATTGCAATTCTTAGCCCACTTGACAGGGCTGCAATATACACCCTTGCAACAATGGGCTCAAACATAGCAACGATTGTGAGGATGGTACAGGACCGGCAATGTTTTGTTCTGTCGTACACGGGGTTGCTACGAGTTGGAACCAACTTGATGACATCTAACAACATATATATCCTTTAGTAGTGGGACTTAGATTTATTAATAGATAACTCAAAGTGAGCTTGTTGGGTCCAAGGCTATGTAAAATGTTCATCAAAATCAATAATAGATTATTCTTCTAAAATTTTTGTGGAAACTTACATTTGCACCCATAGATGTGTACCTGTATGAGAGAGTCTGTTCCCCTGATGGCACAGTGGTTAAGAGCTCAGCTGCTAACCAAAAGGTCGGCAGTACAAATCCACCAGCCACTCCTTGGAAATCCTAACTGGCAGTTCTACTCTGTCCTATAGGGTTTCAATGAGTTGGAACCGATTCCACAGTGGGGTTTGGGTTTTTATGAGTCTCTTTTCTCTTTCCCTGAAAAACTGAATAACACTGGCTGTTATTACACTTTTTAATTTAATTGTTTTAGAAAAATGCTGTATCAATTTATCTTTTTTTACTCTTATTTTTGTTTACTGTTGTAGTTTAAATGAAGTTTACATTTCAAGTTAGTCTCCCATACAAAAATTTATACACACACTGCTATGCGACCACAATTGCTCTCCCCATACTGTGACACCACACTCCTCCTTTCCACCCCTGATTCCCCATGTTCATTCAACCACCTCCTAGCCCTCTCTGCCTTCTCATCTCACCTCCAGACAGAAGCTGCCCCTTTGGTCTCTTGTTTCTACTTGAGCTAAGAGGCACACTCCTCACAACTACCACTTTATGTCCCACAGTCCAGTCCAATACCTGTTTGAAGAGTTGGCCTCAGAAATTGTTTTAGTTCAGAGCTGATGGAGAATTCGGGGGCCATGCGTTCTGGGGTTCCTCCAGTCTCAGTCAGACCATTAAGTCTGGTCGTCTAGCTAGAATTTGAGTTCTGTAACCCACCTTTCTCCTGCTCCATAATGGACTCTATGTTTTGTTCCTTGTCAGGGCAGTCATTGGTGGTAGCTGGGTACCATCCAGTTCTTCTGGTCTCAGGCTGATGAAGTCTCTGGTTTATGTTGCCCCTTCTGTATCTTGGGCCAATACTCTCCTTCTCTCTTTGGTGTTCTTCACTCTCCTTTACTCCAGGTGGCTGGGACCAATTGATGCATTTTAGACGGGCGCTTGCAAGCTTTTAAGACCCCAGCCGTCACTCACCAAAGTAGGATGAAGAACATTTTCTTAAAAAAATTTGTTATGCCAGTTGACTTAGATGTCCCCTGAAAGCATGTTCCTAGGACTTCTACCCCTGCTACTCTGTCCTTCAAAGTGTTTGATTTTATTCAGGAAAATTCTTAGCTTTGGTATAGTCCAGTTGTGCTGACTAGCCTGTACTGTGTGCTGTCCTTCCCTTCATCCAAGATAATTCTTATCTACTATCTAGTTAGTAAATAACCCTCCCCCTCCCTCCCCACCCTCGTAACCATCAAACAATGTTTTCTTCTGAGTTTAAACCTCTCTTGAGTTCTTATAATAGTGGTCTTATACAATATTTGTCCTTCTGTGACTGACTAAATTCACTCAGCATAATGACCTCCAGTTTCCTCCATGTTATATTTCACGGCTTCAGCGTTATTCTTTATCATTACATACAATTTCATTGTGTGGATATACCATAATTTGTTTATCCATTCCTCTATTGATGGGCACCTAGGTTGTTTCCATCTTTTTGCTATTGTGAACAGTGCTGCAAGTAACATAGGTGTGCATATATCTATTCGTGTGATGGCTCTTATTTCTCTAGGATATACTCGAGGAGCAGAATAGCTGGATCGTATGGTACTTCTATTTCTAGCTTTTTAAGGAAGTGCCAAATCGATTTCCAAAGTGGTTGCACCATTTTACATTCCCACCAACAGTGTATAACTG